ATACTCGTAATCGTCCATCTCTGCAAAAGGAACAAAAGAGGTACCTTTCTGGTTCCCTTTTGATCCTTTTGTCAGTTCCTAATGAATTACGAATTCGTAAACAATCGTAAAATGCGAATTATTGTATCATTTTTACGTTCAGAAACTGCAATCATCAGTTCATCTTTTAAACGCTAGTCCAAATTAATGTAGGGGATAGAAACTGGAAAGATTTCTTAATACCCTCTAGAGCACAGTGGGCAATTTTGGCTAGACACACAGGCATATCCTATAGAAGCAGTGCAAAAGCCTATGAACACTCTTTTCAAAGATTTTCGAATATGCTCCTTCCAATGCTGCGGTTATCAAACTTCAGAGATGCTTAATTATCGAAACATATCTAAACAAGTGATTGTACTAGAAAGTTACGCTTCTCTCGTATATCTTATTCAACTTTTTGCAGGACAAAAACAATACATAGCCGATTTGGAAGTGATAGAATTGGAAACAGGTCACTGGGCAATGGAAGAAAAGCCAGAAGACGTCAATCGAGCAATTGATGGATGGTTCAAGAGAATCCTGTGATGCTCACACGAGATGTCGCAGTTAAAAGTTTTTTAAATCAGCCTATCATACATCTATTCTTATTATAAATAAAAGTGATTAACGTAGTTCAGATGACTCTCTGTCGATATTGCGAATATTTTCTAACAGTTACCATACCATTTCACAAAGCAGAAAATATACTTGTATCCCAACTCTCTTGAGCGCTGCCATTCTATTATCGTTTTCAAAAAGCGATGTCCTTGACTAAATTTTGAATAACTTCCCCATAGAAAGATATCGATCTCCAGTTTTAGGTAGAAATCAAAATAACTTCGCCAGAGGCATTTTAGTGAAAACCGGTTTTTCGCCTGTTACTAGCAAAAATTAAAATCCCTATATCTCGATCAAATCTCATGCTAACTCAAGGAAATTTTCAGGAAACGCTCAGGACAGCTCATAACCGCAGACGAAAAAGGTGACTTTCAGCCGGGCGTTGGCTTAAGATTTTCCAGAAATTTTCTAAAAAAACCTCAAAGTGTCAGTGTTTTGCTGGACCACTTTTTCGACGTGATCAACAATATATGGCATCTGTTGAATATTTCCTTGAGTTAGCATGAGATTTGATCGAGATATAAGGATTTTAATTTTTGCCAGTAACAGGCGAAAAACCGTTTTTTCACAAAAAGGCCTCTGGCGAAGTTATTTTGATTTCTACACAAAAGCAAATGTTGCCACTATGCTCAGCGTAATCGATTACCTATACTTGGTTAAGCACTTGTCATTGCGTTTTTAGGTTTAATACGTGCCAAGTACCTGGAAGAATTTCCGATACTTCCATATATTTCGCAAGTACTTACAAGGTTATCTGCCAAAAATCTGCCACGCTCAACGGCTGGTCCAGCTAATGGTCCTTTTTTCGTTCTTTTTCAAAGAACTATAGCAATAAAGTCAGAAAATAATCTAAAATTGCAACTAGATAATTAGGCAGATTAAACATTTTCCACAAAATGAAAAGTGTCTCGGCTCTGAACGTTGATTCGCTATAAAAATACAGCTGTTGTACAAACAGAAAAATAGATCCCCCAGATCGATTTTGGGGCTGTCTAAAAAAACGTGTCTGAACGAGTGAAGACAAGCAGGAGAAAATTAAACAAGTATGCCAGTTTGTGGAAAATTATCTGCTCTAAAAGATGTGATAGCTTTTTAAGTTCGAAACTATTTTAATTAACCTGTATTAGTCAAATAAATAAATAATAATATTCTGACTAAAAAATGGTTAAAAGTATCACAGCGTCACGATTTTTCTGATTTTTCTTTGATTAATACAGGTCAATCGGAATAGTTTCGAACTTCACATCTTTTAGAGCAAACAATTTTCTACAAACTGGTATACTTGTTCAAGTTTCGCCTGCTCCTCTTCGCTCGTTTATACACGTTTTTCAGATAGCTCCAGAATCGATTTTTAGGGCTGTTTATATCGCAGCTGTACTTTCAGAGCGAATCAATCTTCAGAGACGAGATATTTTTCATTTTGTAAAGAAATGTTTAATCTACTCAATGATCTAGTTGTAATTTTAGATTCGTTTGTAAAATACCTTACAGTAATAGTGGTAATAATCAAAAAGCGTTGAAATAGGATTTGGTGTATTCCGACGTGCTTCGTAGGTCGAGATCTCTATTTTTGACCAAATGCTTCTTCTATAAACATTTTTTATTGCAACTCTTTTCATCCATTGAAAGGCTGTGATGCCATCTGTTGCCAGTTTCTCCTAAGGCTTCTCATCAGTTATTGCTTTCTAGTCTATCTAGTCTACTCTTTTCTTCTGATCACTCAGTAGGACCGTTCCCGGATTTTGAGCAAGTTTTCTAGGAGCTTCGAAAAACTGAATCTTTAAATAATAGCTTTTTCCTGGATAATAATGCAATTAAAATTTTTCTAAACACGCATTTGTAGAGCAAACGTTTCTGATCAAAATAAGACCTCGCACAACTCTGTATGATTCTGCATCAAAACGTTACAGGCATTTTCCTAGAAGTTCTAAAATTGAGTATTTCATACAGCGTTTAATACAGCTAGCTCTCTATATAAGAGTTACACCTGAAGTATTTCCCAAGATTTTTTATATTGGTTTGTCATAGAGAGTTAATTCTTTTTTTATTTCAAAGAGGAGAAGAAACTACATCATCTGACCGGTGCCGATTTTTGAATTAGGTCTTAGTTTTTTATCAAATTAAGGATTTGTAGAAAATCCGGAAGCTTTTTCGAGTTTTGAAGGTTCTTGGTTGCCTAAAAATCAATAAAGGCTTAATTGAAAAATCGGTGCCGGTCAGACGATGTAGTTAGATGTCTAGTTTAAAATAAAACAAACCTGAACTCTCCAACTTGAACTATATTAAAAAATTTTGGGAAACACTTTTGGGACCTTGATCTCTAGAAGACTCCTAAACGGTAAGGCTTGGAAACAAAAAAAATTTGCATTCCCGTAATTCATTAAGCCAAACATTTATGCGAAGTTTCGTCAAGATCGGATGTATGTTGTCGGAGATTATTTCTGAGGGGGAGGGGGCCTTAAGGCTTTTTTATCATTTTTTTACAAGTCCTTGTCCGTCTCTAAGGCTTGACTAACAATTTCCATCCCTTCTCAGCGAGTCCAGGCGAAATGGTGATGATAGAACCATACTCTGATAAGAGATCGAAATTCATCTGAGATTACCTTTCTTTCCAAGTTTTTATGTATTACAATATTATTTTTCTCTGTGTCCTTATCTGCCTCTCAGATTTGTTCATAGTCTGTCACAGTAAGACTGATTCTTTTCTCTACCAGAACGAGACTTGAAATCTGTGTCAAGAATTGAGATAGCCCAAGTGTCTACTTGCTAATGGCATATATAATTTTTGTGTCGATAACATAGGTTTGTCATAGATTTTAAGGGAGTTTTACGGTACCCCTATAACAAAATATTTTTTTCCTGGATACTTATGCAGTTTAACTTTAATCTGGATAGGTAGGCTAATGGAGCAGACTTTTCTGATCAAATTAAGACGTTGCACAACCCTGTATGACCTTGTGTCAAAAAGTTACAAGCATTTTTCCAGAAGTCCTAGAGTGGATCAACCAATGCACAGCGTTTTCTCTCGAAATGTCTTTTTACGACTGCAGCGTATCATACTTTCAAGATATCTCGGTCATTTTGCAAGATGGAAATTTCGGGTTGGTCGCAAGAAATAGAGAAATGGTTTTTCTATGTCGTGAAGTCTTCGGACTTTTCAATTTAAGTTTACTTCAGGAGAAATTTAAAATGTTCCCGAAAAGTTAGTCCGAAGACTTCACGACATAGAAAAAACAGTTTTCCATCTTTTTAGACCAGGTCAAAATCTCTAGATCGAAAAATGCCGGTATATGTATAGTACAACACCATACTTTTCACTACGAATTTAACAATAATCCTGGTAAAACAAGATCATATAATTTAGTGTCTCAACTTCTATCGAATTACAGAAAAACAAAAAATAATTTACAGTTTTTACGAAACGAACAGATCAAACTCGAAACAGAAATACATCATACCTTGTTTAAGTCTGAACAAGAGATGAACTTCTGAGAGAAGAAACTGTCAACAAATAATTTTGTTTTATCTTGCTGTGTATTTTATGCTTCTGAGACTATTTGAAGTTATTCAGAATGAGAAACATAAAATTAGCTATCCAAAAATGAAGTGACATAAGATATTTTAAAGTTTATACAACCCTTCCATCTTCGAATTATCTGTCGAGAGGAGCACTATTTGTCAAAAAACGTAACTCATTCTTTCTTTCTCCGTACATGCTGTATCTAAGTGATTCTGATAACTGAGGACATTGTTAGAAAGAGAAAAATATCATATAGAGTACAAACAACGTTCATTTACCTCAGTCAATATTATCACATATAAAGGCAAGTGAAAATCCGTCGACTAAGTTCACTGTTATCTAGAAATAAAATGAATAAAAGATACATATATTATATTCTAGAAGTGTCTAGAGATGCATTGTCTATGTATAGTCCATTGTTTTATCCAAAGCCTATATAAACGAGTAGCATTCAATAACAATAAACCTATTCTACATCTTACTTTTTTATCATCGAATAGTCAGCTGCACTTCTAATCAAACTTTCTACGACGCAAAATTATTTTCAATCTGCATCGTAATAATTTTTTAAGTGTAAACCAAAACAAATGACATCAAAAACAAATTTAATAATTTTCGTAGCTATAGTAGCTGTCATGTTACTTGGTTGCAATGGTACTATAGCACGAACAACACAAACAACAACAGCTCTCGTTAAAGATGGTATTACCACAGAAGAATATTCCAATGGACAATTTGCTTCAACATCAGAAGCGTCAATAATACGAACTCGTCGATGTGAATGTCCTTGGTGGGTACGAGGGTGTTGTAACTAACCAGACGTAGTAATTAGTAGTATATTTTTTTAATAGTAATTTCAAGTGTGCAATGTTCAAATTTTTTTTCTCTGTTCTATATTAATGCAATATTTATATTTTTTGAAACATGAAAATAAAATAAAATAGAAAAAATTTCTAAAGATAAAATATTTTTTACGTTTTGTTATGGAGTGATGAATCACTTATTCAACCGGATAGTCTATTCTTGTGTTGATTGATAATTTTTGGCACTAAACATGTGCTACACATTTAACTCTATATGCCTGCAAAAGATCACACATCTAACTTTTGTCTTATACAGCTATTAATTATCCAAACTGTGTTCGTTCTACTTACGCTTCAAATACATGAAACAATAACCTCACATTGATAGTTTCTAGATAAAATATACCAGAAATAAGTATTCACGTTCGTATTTAAAATGAGTACTTATAATCATCAAACTACTTAAAATTCCTTAAATATGCTTAAAATCCGCTCCCAAGTATCCAGTTAAATGCTAACTGAGTTATTTTACAAGTGTTCGTTATATTACTCTACATGATTGCTCAAATATGTACCCATGCTTGAGTACATTTACTAGGATCGAGAAGCAATTTAGTAGTTCATCTGACACTCCCTGATTCTTCAATCTATAACGACTTGAAAAATATGTTTGTTTAGTCGAGGACATCTACCTTGCACACTGCAGTTTCCTCAAGTGGAAGCTAAAGCTCTAACAGTAACAGGTGTATATTGTAAAGGCTATTTCTACCCTATTTTATTTGTTATTGTGTCTTCGTATTATGTGCTCTTTATATAAGACATCCTAGTTAGTTGATTTTCTCCTTTACGAATTTTCGCTCTCTCTCATTTTATTCTTTGACCTATTCCTCTTTGTTAAACTGTTAACCCTTTACCCCCTGGTGCTAATCCAGCAAATTTGGTGTTGAGTTGAGCAAAGGAATAGCTTATGTGGGTGCCCGACATGACAACGGTACGGTTAAATTTGAGCGAAAGTTTTTTCACTGCGGAAGAGCAGAACAGGCCATTGACGACCCATTCGGGTTAAGTGAAATGAAAATTTGATGTTTTGCTGTTTTGTTTTTTGTTGCGTTTTTTTGTAATTGCATGTTTACTTGGTCTGTATAAAACCAGAAAATTGTTCCTATCATGAAGTTTTGAAAAATGAAGAAAAATAATTCATGATAGGCCTAATTTTATTATAAACACTCGAGATCTTTACTGCCGAGAATAGTATTTTGAGGAAGGGTTTAAGATAACTTAAATTTATATTCAGAATTCTGGATAAACTTTGAACTTGACAAATGACCACTAGATAAGATTATACTTTTGACGTTGCTAAAAAGTCCATAAACATTACAGTTATAGTTCAGTTAGAAACTGCAAACGGTGCATACCTATGGTCTGGAAATCTTATAAATTAAAGGACAAAATAGATTTTTGACACTGTTGGCACCGTGAGCTCTTCTAATATAAACTGCTCATGTTCTAAAGTCTAGGCCTAACGGAAAGAACGATGATGTACCTTATATCAATAAACAAACCTGCAGAAAAAAAACAATTTTCATGTCACTCATCCCGAATGGATCAAAGATGACCCATGTTGTCCTGAAGGATGCTGCTCCCACATCTCTAATCAAGAAATCTCTAAACGTTTTCCTGCAAATAGATGACGCCCGTCGCAGTACATATTAACCGCCCGAATACAAAACTAATCAATCTGTGCAAGTGGAAAACAAAGCAAATTTCGTATACGATCTGCAACTTATGTATGGTATAATGAATTCATTGAGTGATGAAAAATTGTTAAGATGGTGTTTTGCTGTGATTAATAATGCACCGTTTTGGATTAAAATGCAAAATAAAATGTTCAAAGGATTTAGTTATGCAAAACAATATATAATACAAGCTATTTCTTAATTTATTGTTTAAAAAAAGACCTATAAATAACTATTCAGTAACATGTTAAGTGAACTGAGCATATGTTGCTTTCTTTCTGCTCGTTTTAGAAGCTGACACAACTACTACGGTCTAAAATTATTCAATTCTATTTTTGAATGAGTAGAAAAAGGTCTTGCGAATCTAATGCTCAAAGAATTATTTAGTTTAGTCAGAAAATGAGTGATTTATGAGCGAATGATTACACAAAATATTTTTCATACTGCTCTTTTCGTTCTCTTTTCTGTAGAGAGACAGAATACAACAAATGCGAAACAAATGTCAATAGAGATATATCTTAGATATATATCCCATGTCGCGGCGCATTTTCTGAGAATACTACCGGTTACCGGCGGTTCAACGAAATACCGCCGGTTGGATCGAACCGTTCGGTATATCCTGCTCTTTAGCAACCGTTTTTTCTAGATCTTTCTTTCGTTATCACAATATGCGTAGCTCTTGTTTTTTCTGTCGCCGATAATAATGGGGCTTGTCTCGAAGAACGTTTGGATATATGTGCAGTACAGTGTGTCCTAACCATCAGAACTCCTTTTTCTTTGATTTTTCACTAAAAACTGGAACAAGTCTGAATACTGTTTTGAATAGTCCGAAGATTTTTCTATCAGATGAGGTGCATATCATTTTATAAGAAAACTTGATAATACGGTTTTGGAACACTATATCTGTTCAGGGAATTATAACAGGGTTTCTGGAAAACATGACCGCTAGAAAACTAAGTCTTTGGCTTTTAGTCACGCTTTATCACTGGAATATTTTGGTAATGTTCACGCCTACTTGTAGCCGTTCGTATGTCGACTGCAGTGGGTGAAAAAGCGTTATAAACAGTCTGGAGATATTTTATTTTGCTCAGAATTCTTTGCTCTATAAGGCTATGTGGTTTGCAAAACTTTCTGACTAAAAGCCAAAGACTTGGTTTTCTAGCGGTCAGGTTTTCCAGAAACCCTATAATCAAGTTTTCTCATAAAATAGTAATATGCACCTCATCTGATACAAAAGGGGCTGTTCAAAACAATATTCAGATTTGTTCCAGTTTTTAGTGAAAAATCAAAAACAAACGAGTTCTGATGGTTAGGACATACTGCAGTGCTGGGCGAGTCAAGCTATTTTTCGAGTCGAGTCGAGTCCGAGTCATTTCATAGCGATTTCGAGTCGAGTCAAGTCGAGTCACTAGTGTTTTCGAGTCGAGTCAATATTATTTTTCTATTTTTTTCCGAGTGCTATTTATTTTTATAGAGAACGTTAACTACAACTTTTCGATATTCGTTATCTATTTCTTAATTTTACATATATATATACTCTAATTAATTATATGTTCTTCACATTTATTCTACTTTTGTCTGACGA